ACTTCTGGTCAGCCCTGACATCAGGGCTTATAGCCACGGGTCCCCAAGAGGGCCAGGTGTGGCTTCAGCAGCTAGCTCTGGGCCAGGGCAAGGGGCAGGCAGGCTCTGGGCAGTCCTGAAGTCGGGGGACACCCCAGGCAGAAGCGCTAGGGCCCGTCGGGCTCCCCTGCATGCCATGGGGCCGGGACACTGCCTGCGTGGGACGCATGTGGTTCAGCCCCAGGCCCAGGCCTTGGCAGCTCTCCAGGTCCCACCCGCTAACAGCCCGGCCAGCCTGGCACGCCAGGGGAAGACCGCCCTCTGGTGGGACCCCTTGGGCTGGCTGTAATGCCAGCTCTCTCCCGCCTGTGTGCAGGAACAGCTTCCAAAGCCATTCCACAGGCCCCAGAGATGCTGCCTGTGCAGCCAGTCCTGCTGGAGACGGCCCCCAAGGTGGGCCCAGGCCCATCCCATGAGTGGACGGACACGATGACTTTGGAAACCCACGGGTAGACCATAGGTCTAGGCTGGAATCGCACAGGCCACCCTCTGCTGCCCAGCAGAGCCCCCTCCTCCTCAGAGAAGCTGAGTGTCACAGGTTACCTGGTCAAGAGGAGTGTGCTCCCTCCCCCACAGCCCCGCCCACCCCATCTCTGTCCCTGCAGAGTAGACACCTGGGTCAATGGATGCCAGCCCAGGGTGGGCCCGGTGTGTGCCTATGGGGGACATGGCGGGACGACTGGGAGGGGGAAGCAGGCCAGGGCTCTGAGGTTAGAGGTCACCGCCTCTGGGAACCTGGCCCCCAGTGGGCTGGGCACAGCTCCTCACTTTGTCCCTCTCTTCCCACCTGTCTGCAGGAAGTATGGTCCCCTCACCTCATGCCCTGTCCCAGAGCAGGGGGTGCTGGGGGAGCGCTTAGTGTCCATATGCTCATTGGCTCATGGGGTCTGTCTACAGACACCTGTGAGCTGGGCAGCCTGGAGCCCAGGGCCAGGTTGGGGCTGGGCTTGTTTCTCTGAGTCCAGCCCACTCCTAAAAGACTGAGGTGGGGGCCAAGAGCCCAGCACACCCTGGGGCCTGGCTGGTGGTGCCAGGGGACAGGGGGCCCTTACCTCGCTTGGCCCCTGGAGCCCCGCTGGACAGGGACGGGCCAGGGAGGGAAGGGCCAAGTCCCCGCCACAAGCCTCTGCTGGCAGGCCCATCTCAGGCTCGCCCAGACCCTCAGTGGTTGGTGGTGGGCCCCCCAGCTGCTCTGGGCCCAGGTGTGCCTCCTAAGTACCCACACTGTGACTGGGACTGCCGTGCAGTTTGTGGGGGCCTAGGTTGGTACCTGGGGGGTCTGCAGGGCAGAGGGTAGGTGCAGGGGGCAGGACTGGTGCCCCTGATGGCTGGACAGGGATGACAGGGAGGTGACCCCTTGATGCCCCAGGGTAGGAGTCTGGGAGACCCAGCGTGGAGGCCGGGCCCATGGGACTGGTCACTGCTCAGCTGCAGGAGGCTGAGGCCAGCCCAATGGCACCCTCTGCAGGCCGCTGGGCACAATGGTTCTCTCGCAACCTTAACAGCAGTGGGTGGAAAGGGTGAGGGCAGCCCGGGGCTCCTGGGGTCTGGGGTCCTGGAAAGGCAGGCCTCTAGGAACCAGGGCCAGGGTGCAGGGGCTGTCCCCCACGTGCAGTCCTACAGGCAGGTTCTCCACCTCAGGGACATGCCCCACACCCCAGCAGGGCCCCCAAAGCAGCCTCCACTGAATCAGGACTCCCTTCTCTGGCCTCAGGCAGCCCTGCTGGCCCTGGGGGCAGCCATCTGCTCCCCAGCATGTGGTGGCTTGCTGGCCTCGACCCTGCCAGGACCTCTCTGAGAGGCCGCAGGCGACAGGAGCCTAGGTGTGCACACCCCGATCCCACGGGCCCAGGCAGCATCTATACTATCTGGCTTTCTCAGAGTGCAGAGTGGCACAGTGGGGAGGGGGTCAGCCCAAGAAAGGACCTTTTGGTTACCCGCTTGGCCACGTGGAAATCCTCCATCCCACTGAGGGGCCAAGGAGAGTTTAGGGTTTAGCCTGGGCTGGGGGCAGCTGGGAGTGGAGGCAGCACCTGACTCCAGGGGGAGGCCATGGCTGGAGAGAGCTACAGTGGCCTGCCAGTGTGGAGGTAGGGGGGACACCGAGGAAGGCCGGTCCCCCTGCACCCCCATTCTGCTCCTCCTCCATGGGCCCTCTCAGCAGGGTGTGGATGGCCACAGCTCCAGGGAGGACAGGTGGGGCGGGGGGCGGGCCTCCCGCCCTGCAGTCCTGGTCACCGTGAAGGTCGCAGTCCCTGGGCTGCCCTCACAGGATCCTGTGGGCTTGCCTTTGGCGACAGGCCATTAGGTCTCTTGGTTCTGGAGGCTGAAGTCTGAGCTGCGGGGGCGGCCTGCAGACCTTCTCGCAGTGGCCTCACTTGGAGGCGAGGTCTCTCCCCTCTCCTCCCCACCCTCATGATCGCCCTCACCTCACCCCTCGCCTGAGGTCCCTCCTCTTGATGCCATCCCACTGGGGATAAAAGAGGGAGTCTCTGCAGACTTGGGGGGCCCTCCTCTTCTGTGCTCTAGGAGGCAGTCCCGGGGTGCCCCATCCATGAGGCCTCTGTGGGCATGCTGCCGGCCTGTGGACACTACTTCCCTCCTGCTCAGCACTGGGGATCCGAGGCAGCGTCCCAGGCCAGCCCCCAAGTCCTCATGCCCCCAACTTGGCAGGAGGCCCCAGGGTACTGCTGGTGTCCCATGCAGGGAAGGCAGGGGTGTGGGTGTTCAGTCCCGCGGCTGTGTGCCTGGCTTGGCCATGTTTACCCGGGGAAGCCCAGTGCCAGGCCTACCCAGCCTTGCCGCCCTGAGTTAGCTTGGGCTCCAGTATAAACACCCATTCAGCTGCACAAGGCCCCTTTGTCCCGAAAAGAGGTTCCTGGCCCAGGATGCTGATCGGCGGCCCGTGTCCTCAGCACGGCCGGCTGCCCCCAGTGGCCTTCTCTGGGCGGACTCCTGGCCAGGCTCCGAGAGGCTCCGTGGGGGACAGGACCTTGGTGGCCGGCAGGCCGGCTGAGCCCGGTGAGGAGCTGGCTACGACAGAGCCTTCGGGGCAGCCCTGACCCTACGAAGAGGAGCGGGAGCCCTGCAGCCCCACGGCCTCCTGCCCGGCGGCTGGAAGGTCCTGTGCGTGGGTGAGGCCCCAGATGAGCTGCAGTCCTGAGCCCCAGGTGCCATGGGGCCTGGAGCAGAGGTGGGCACTCTAGCCCAGGACAGCCAGGTGTGCTCTTGAGGACATGCCTTCCAGGCCCAAGTGCCTGAGCCTGAACTTTGAGCGGGGAAGCTGGATTGGGGGGTGGCAGTGAGTCTCTTGGAGGCATCACAGGCCCTGCGGGGAACAAGCTGCTGGCTGGTGTGGTGGGTCAGGCCTGTCTGCCAGGGGCAGGTATGGGTGGCCTCTGCGTGGAAGGGACACTTCTGTGTGAGCCTCGTTTCTAGGGTCCCTGGGTAGGGCTAGTGAGGGCGGTTCCCAGATGCCAGGGAAGCCGTTCGAAGTGGCTTTAGAGCAGAGAGCTGGTAGCTGGACAGTGGTATCCTGGGGGCCCGCCCCAGGGCCTGGGCTCCAGCGCGGGGGCCGGTAGCAGGTTCTGGAGCCCAGGAACATCCTGGTGGCCATCTAGAGAAGAGGCCCTATAGGAGGTGCCTCAGGGTTGGGAGACATCGTGGGACAGGAGACAGGAGGGGGTGTGGGCAGCAGGGTGGCTCCCCGGTTCCTGCTCCCAGCACTGGGCACTTTCTTTCAGATGCTCTGAGAGCAAACATACCCTCCACCTGTGGGGTCCTGGGTGCCCTGGTGGCTGGCCCCACAGTCCCCTCCCACTCTACACTGAGTGGTGACTTTGGGCCAGCAGCGCCCCCTGGTGGTGGCTGGGAGGGCCTGCTGCCCACCCTGAGGTCTGTACTGGGGAGGCCAGCTGCCAGCAGGAGTCCCAGCGTGGGGGCGGTGGCACTGGGGAACTCAGAGGCCTCCTGCCTGGGCAGGCCTTGGCTTGGGTCTCTGTGCTGGGTCCCCTGCTCCCTTTTGCTAGCTGTTCCTCCTCAGACCTGGGTGCCAACCACTCCTTACCCCTGTCCAGGTACTGTTTTCCTCACCTGTGCCCTTTGCCTGCTCCTTGAGGAGCTTCTGCCTGGTTCGGAAACCACTGTCCCAGAGGTTCACCTTCACCCAGCCACGCCCCCTCTTGGCCCCATCCCCAGTGCCAAGCAGTCAGTGAGAAGGAGATGGAGAGAAGGACCATGCTTGGCCATGTCCAAGGGTCCAGCAAGTGCATGTGGCAGGCCCATCCTCTGGATATGGTCCTGACAGCCACCGAGGGATCACCAACTCAGACACCCACCTTGACACCTGGCTCAGGAGATGCTGGGCCTTTGTGCCGAGTCACAAATGCCCACTGTGGTTGGCAGGCTCTATAGCCCAATGGCCGGTAGAGGCATGGGAACTCCATCTCAGACTCAGCCCAGGAGGCGTGGGGTCCAGCTGGGGAACCCCGCCTTCCAGCAGATCGTGTCAGGCCCACCCCGGCGTCAAGCACGGCGCCCAATAGGATTGCAGTTGTTCATTCACCATGACCACAAAGGACCTGAGCAATGGATGCGGGGACCACAGCCCCGTCGAGGGCCAACCACCCCAGGTCAGTGGCAGCACGGCCGTGCGAAGGCAGGGCTGGTGCCCCCTGGGCAACCACGAGGGGCACGGGCCACAGCCGCAGTGGCCAGGTCAGCCTCTGGCCCAAGCAAGAAACCCAAACCGGAGTCAAAACGAGAGCACCTTCAACACTTGAACCAAAGGCAATCTTTATTTACTCTTCTTTTTAAAGCAGTCTAGTTTAAAAACGAGAGATCAAGAGAGAAGAACAGGAAAACTTCCACAGACAGGCAGACAGAAAGATAGGTGCGCGCGCGTGCGCGCGCACACACACGCGCGCGCGCACACACACACACACACACACACACACACACAGGGCGGGGGAGGGGGTTGTGTCAGATCTTCTCCATCTTGGAGATGAGGTCATCACAGATCCGGGTCAGTTCCTCATTTTCCTTAGTCTGAAGGAGAAAAATCAAATCCTTATTTGTTTTTCTGAAGATTTTATTTTGAATCCTCCCTACATCTGAAGTGGGGCTCGAACTCACAACCCTAAGTTGCTCAAAGAGTTGCATGCTCTTCTGACTGCCAGCTGGGGGCGCAGAATCCTTGGGTCTGGAGCAATTCTCAGAAGGGGCAGCCCTGGAGTGGGCCATGGGCTGCCTATAAGTTATTGGCTGATGCCCCTGCCCCAGGGTGGATCCCCAAGCTGGGTCCCAAGCAGGCAGGGCTCCTCCCCTCCCCCAAGCACCAGGGGTCCCGTGTGCCCACCTTTTGCTCCACTGTCTTCTCCAGCGAGTGGATGCGCATCTGCTCCTTCCTCAGGCTGGCCTGGAAGGCCAAGGACTCCGCTTGGGCCTTGCTGCGCACCTGGGCAATCTCCTCGCTGGCTCTGGGGATGCCAAGGAGGGGGCTGAGCAGTCAAGGCCAGGGGGGGTCCCTGACCCGAGGCTTGCTAGGTCTTGCCCCGCCCACTCCCACCAAACTCACAGTTGGAGCTTCTCCTCCGCATGGGCCTTCAGGGCCTGGTACCGCTGGCCCTCCTTCTCTATCCTCGCAATGTAACCCTCCACACACTTCTTCAGCGACTCTTCATTCTTTAGAGAACGCGCAGATGTGAACTGCGCGGTGTGTCCTCTGTTGGAGCCCCCCAGGCCTCGCTTTTTGGACAGGTGTGGACGGGCCCACCATCAAGGGTTTCTGGGGGTGTTAATCAAGCAGCAGCTCCAACAAGGAGGGCCACGGGGACACAGCTGGACACTACCTGTCCCCTCCCCCCCTCTGCCAGGTGTGAGAATGGACCCCTGGCCCCTCACAGCTGCCGTGGCCCCCATGCTTCTGGCAGGTACTGCTGACCACAGAGGGCATATCTGGACATGGGGCTGGGGCCATCCACCTCAGGGCTGTTTGGGCCCAGCTTTGCAGCTGAGTCTGGGTCTGGTTTCAGACCATGACAAAGCCAATAGTTGAGGGGCAGGGGGAAGGCTGGAGATTGAGGCCCCGATGTGGCGCCCCCACCACCTCTGGGCCTTCCAGGGCCCCCTGAGCCCTCATCCTTCATGGCAACAGGCCACACCTTTGAGCTTTGCCCCTGTGCTTCCTTCTTCCACACATCAGGTGACACTTTCTAGGCTCCCTGCCCCCACCCCCAACACAGGCCTGTCTCAACAGCTGTGCGTGTGGTCACTGCATGCCATGCGTGCATGTCCCGATGCCCTCTGGAAGGGGACCAGCTCCTTCAGGTGACTCCTCTTGCAGAGAAAGAAAGGGTCGGCCACGAGGGAGCCCTGCCCGGCTGTATGCCCAGAATGCCGGGCAGCCCGTAGGCCCCATGCAGTGGGGCCACTGAGGTCCAAGGGGCCCAGGCCTTCCTCCAGGAGGCAGCCAGTGGGCATCCTAGGCACCCACTCAGCCTGCCGGGGCTCTGTCTCCAGTCCAGGCCCCATGGCCCCTCTGCTCAAGTCCCTGGACAAATAGTAACCTCTGCCAAGCCTGGGTCCGCTGGCAAGGGAAGGGCACAGCCAGGGACTGCCCAGGTGGTCTGCCTGGCGAGTGAGCAGCTTCCGGCCCTCAGCAAGGTGAGGCCATGGGGCAGGCTGGCTCCGTGGCTGAACACGATGCCCCGGGGACGCCGTGTGGGAGGATAGGCACAGGCCCACTTGGCACCACCTACCTTGCGGTAACCCTCGATCACCTCCTTCTGTTTCTCAAACCGTTTGAAGAGGTCAGAGAAAGACTTTTCCATGGAGCTCAGGTCTGCAGTCAGCTGCTCTTTTTCCTTTAGGATCTTCTGGATCTCTGCTTTTGCAAGTTCCTTCTGCTTCTGAGCCTCCTCTTGAGCAAAGAGAAACAAGCACTGGGGTGAGAGCAGCCCCCACATGCTGGTACCACAGGCGAGGGCCCGGGATGTGGGACACATGCGACAGGGGAGGGGTGGGCAGCTGGCTGTGGTCCCGCTGAGGGCTGGGCGACAGGCACCCCCTCCAACGTGATCTTCCAGAGCAGAGCCTAAGGGGCCCACAAGCCAGCCCTGGAGGGGTGGGTGGACAGGAACCTAGGGGCCCAAGGGACACCAGGCCAGGTCCCCAAGCCAGGGGCCTCTGGGAGCTTGAGGCTTTGCCCAGGGTGAGGACTGGTACTCACTCCAAGCCCCACCTGACACGTCCAGAGCCTGACATCCAGGGATCCCCTGAGGACGTGGGGGGCACACCCTGGATACAGTGACCATGGAAGGGACCCCAGATGCCCACCTGGGGCCTGGCCAGCTTTGGGGCCAGCAAGCACCAGTCCCCCGGCACCACCCAGCTCTGACCACCAGATGTTCCCTCACTGGCCTTGGTGGCTCCACCACAGGGAGGCCCGCGGCTGCCAGCACTCACCCATCGCCTGGTACACGATCCCCTCAAAGCCGTCCATGATCTTCCTGTGGGGAGAATGGAGGTGCCCGTGGCCGCCTGTGCCGCCCACGGCAGATGTACCCAAGCCGCCCGGCGAGCACGGTGAGCCTTACCCCATCTCCAGGTTCCTGGCGTGCAGCGTCTCACACCGGCTCCTCAGCAGCACATTCTCCTCGCGTGTGGTCTCCACCTGCACACGGCATGTAGCACATAGCTGCTGGGCACCCCTCACACCCAGGGTCCCGGGGACAACGTGTCAGTCAGGGGAGTGGCTGTGAGGAGCCCCAGTCAGCCCAAGGACCTTGTGGCTCCCAGGTGGCAGCAGGGCCAGCCAGTGTCCAGAGAGAGCACTGCCTGTCGGACACGACGGGGTCCCATCAGCCCCCAGGAATTGTGTCTGTGCGGGTGGAGAGGGGGGGACACCTCCTGCTGTGGACAAGGCTGGGAGAGCAGCTGCAGAGGGGGAGGGGCCCAACCACGGGACCTCCTGGGCCAGCTCTGGGCAGGACAGGGGGCCACAGGCACTGAGGCTAGGAAAGGACTTAGCAGCCAGCAGACTGTGCCTATGGGGGATGCCTGAGCCACTCTGTGTGTAAGCAGCTGCTCTGGGAGATGCTGGGGGAGACACTGGGGTGCGAAACCAGTGAGCGGACATCTTCGGTCCTCCTCGGAGCCACAGGAGGAGAGCTGGTGCTCATGGCTATGTACTGTGGCACCCCATGGGAACCCAGCCTCCCTACACCCTGGCCTCACCGCTGCATCCAGGTCCTTCTGGCTGTACTGCAGCACGTCCACGATGGAGCCCATGGACAGCGGTGGCCCCCCAGGCCCAAAGACACAGGGAGGAGGATCCAGCACCTGTGGGGGGATGACAAACTGGGCCATATGTTCTTTTGGAAGCCACCCCCACCTCTACCCTACTGTCAGGGAGGACAGGCCCTCAGAGGCCAGGGGTTCCTAGGGCAGCAGGGAGTCCCCCCACCCCATGCCAAGGAGGGGTGCTGCACCCACTCATGTCATCAGGCCTGTAACCAGAGTCCTCTCTCTGCATCACAAGGGGAAGAGCACTTACGGGATCATCTGGGGGTCCCAGGAAGTCAAGTTCCACGAGCTTCGCCTCTGGCAAGCTTCCTGAGGAAGGCACGGCCACATCCTGTGCACTGAGACCCCGGAACAGAAGGTAAATGTGCCCATTTCCCCCAAAGGCCAGAGAACAGCCTCTGTTACAACCCTTTAACTCTGCCTCGAATCTCCACCCCTGTGGCATGAGCTATCACCCAGCCACAGGGGCCCACCAAGCCTCATGAGGACAGGCAAGCGTGGGATTGGACCCACAATCCCTTCTCCCGCACCCGAGGGGTCCAGAGAGCCCTGAAGTCTACCTTTCCAAGGCAGGGTCATGAATGTCCCCATTTAGTCTAGAAATCTTGGGTCGATAGCTGCCCACCTGCCCGCCCTAAGCCCCAGGGGATAGAGGGGAGGCATACCTGCTGGTCTCTGGAGCCACAGGCCCTGGTCTCTGAGGGCTGTCCTTCAGGAGCGGGTCAAACTTGAGGTACAAGGACTGTTTTCTCAGGGCTGACTCCTTAAACTAGAGGAATGGGTGAGTTAGCAGGTTCACCAGCCTCCCCGATGGAGGATGGCCCCAAGGCAGACCCCAGCATGCAGCAGCGTGTGCTCAAGCTCCCCTCTCCATGGGAGCTCCAAACAGGCACCACGAGGCTCCGGGTGCAGCTTGGGAAGGGGTCCCGGGGAGCCCCTGATGCCCGTCACAGAGCGGACACCATTGGCGTGTGTGAGCTGGCCCATCATGATTTTGGAGGTGGGTCAGTGGCTCAGGATTGTTCTAGAAAGCACCCCCTTTGCAGAGGTATACTCTGGAAAAGGCTGCCATGACGGTGCGGTACTCACCGAGGAACCCCCAAACTGCTCCAGATAATCCACCTCAGCTCCTGAGCCTAGAACTGAGGGGGGTATGCATCAGTGCTGCTGTCACCCACCACATGGGCACCGTGAATAGCAGTCCGCTGCTTCTGGCCCCGTGGCCCTCAGGTGGGGCTGCCCGGAGCCGTGATTTGCTCCGCCCACCCCTCTCCCCTGGGGGCCACCAATCCTGGTTCACACTTAGGACCCCTGGGGCCAAGACACCTGGTGGGATTGTCCCGTGTGTTGCTGGGAGCCAAGCAGCAACTCTCCAGGTACGACAACCAAAACTGTCCCAAGGGACCCAAGTGCCAGGGCTAAGAGCTATTATTTAAAACTACTCTAGGGGTGCCTGGGTGGCTCAGTTGGTTAAGTTACTGCCTTCAGCTCATGTCATGGTCCTGGAGTCCCGGGATCGAATCCTGCATTGGGCTCCCAGCTCTGCAGAGAATCTGCTTCTCCCTCTGACCTTCTTCCCTCTTGTGCTCTCGCTCTCACTCTCTCTCAAATAAATAAAATCTTAAAAATAAATAAATAAAACTACCCCTAAAACCATTTTTGAATTCTGGACAATGGAACTTTCATTTAAAAAAACCTGAGGATGGCTCCCGTCATACATGAAAATGTACTCAAAATGAATAAAAATCCCAAATATAACAGCTACAACTATAATGTTTTTAGAAAATGTAAGGGCAGACACTTGCAGTATCACATCTGGCATGGATTCCTTAGACTTCACACCAAAAGCACAAAGAGCAAAAGAAAAAGAGGGAAATAAGACTTCAGGGTTAACATCTGTGCTTCAAAGGACGCCACTGGGAGAGAGAAAGCCCATAGAATGGGAAATGATTCCTTCCATGTCACCTATATGGTAAAAAAAAAAAAAAAAAAAAAAAAATCCTTACCTAGGATAGATGGGAAATCATTACAACTCAGTAATAAAAAGCCAATTTGAGGGGCGCCTGGGTGGCTCAGTTGTTAAGCGTCTGCCTTTGGCTCAGGTCATGATCCCAGGGTCCTGGGATCGAGCCCCGCATCAGGCTCCCTGCTCAGTGGGGAGCCTGCTTCTCCCTCTCCCACTCCCTCTGCTTGTATTCCCTTTCTCGCTGTGTCTCTATCAAATAAATAAAATCTTAAAAAAAAAAAAAAAAAGCCAATTTGAATCCAACAGCAGGGCAAAGGACCCAAGCAGACATTCCACAGAAGGTGTAAAAGGCACATGAAGACTCTTGTCAGCAGGGGGATGCAGATCAGATCCTCGGAGGGGGCGCCCCCCCATGGCTGGAGGCTGGAATTGAAGTCCCAAAGGCCCCCAGGGGCTGCAGAGGCTGAGGAGAGTCGGGGACCTTAAACATGGCTGCTGCTTTGGAAAGTAAGCTGGTGTCTCCTCAGTGTCACCCAGAGCTACCATGTGACCTGGAGTTCCCCTCCAGGGTTCGTACCCAAGACCAACAGACACTCATGTCCAACACACATGCACATGAAAGTTTGTGGCAGTCTCACTGAGCAGACAACCCAGATGCTCCTCAACTGGTGAACAGAAATGCTAGTTGTGGTCCCTCCGCACGGTGGCACACCCTTTGGCCGGGACAGGAACAAGCAGCGACACATGCTACAAGGCAGAGGACCCTTGAACACCTGATGCTCAGGGAGAGAAACCAGACTCGAGAACCCCCTTGGGACTCGGGGGTCCCTGGGATTGTCCGGTCATGGGCCAACCCTGCACTCCGGTCCTGGTCTCCTCTCTGCCTGTAAGTTAAGCCTCATCAAGACCCCGTCAACCTTCTCTCTAGTGAGACAAGTCCATCCTAGATTCTCACTTCAAGAGTCCAGACCCGCCCTCCACCCCCGTGGAAGGTCAGTTCTCTGTGGGGACTCTGTGTGGACTCGCCATTCCAATAGGATTTCTCCACCAACAAGGCGCCTGCCGCCTGTGTGTGTGCACAGAGCCTCTTTCCAGATCTGATTTCCGGTCCTGAAATCCCTTACAGCAGGAGTATGTCCTGGAAGGATCCAGAGCATCTGTGCACATTGCTTCAAGTCAGGGAATAGAGCTGCCTGTAGGGCGGTCTCTGGAAAAACGTCCCTGAACACGGGCATCTCTGGAATAGCAACGCGCCGGCGGGGACAGACAAGTGACCTGGGGACAACGTACCCTCAGTGGGGTCTCGGAACTGCTCCTCAGCCAGCTCTGCGGTGGGCTCCAGGCCCCGTGGAGGAGTGGGGGGCGCCGGCTCACCGCCCAGGCTGCCCCTAGGGGCTGGTGCACCTGCAGGGTCCGCAGCTCCCTCCTGGAAGAAGAGTAGCTCGGTCTGGGCATCTCATGAGGCCCAAGGTCCCGTGTGTGGCCTGTACCTCCCCCAGTCTCGTCAGGATGGGGGCGGGGGGAGCTGGGGTGCCACGCCGTGTCACACCTGGTCTCTCCCCACCGCCCTCTGCCCATGTGCACGGAAGATGACGGATGGCCTGGGCTGAGCTCATGTCCCTACCTCGCCTGCTGTGCCTGGGGTCCTGGCTGCGGTCTGCACCCCAGGCGTGTCATCCGAGGAGAATGAAGGCACCTGCCTGAAGAGATGGTGTCAACAGGGCCTGTGCCCCGGGACTGAGCTGCCTCCTGCCCTGTGAACCCTCACCTTGAAGGCCAAGGGCTATGCAGGAGTTCCCAGCAGAGCCGTCCCCACCCACCCCAACTGCTCAAGAAGCATGGGCTTCCCAGGGGGACCCAGCTCACAGAGAAAATCCCAAGGGTTTACTTGTCTGATTTCACCAGGAAGCTGGCAAACGTGCCAGAGTAAGGGTCCCAGGGGGCTGGGCCGGTGCGAGGAGATGGCCTACAGGACTGTCAGGGTGCACTCCTGGCTAGGGGGCAGCTGGCATGCATCCCACCAGAATGCTGCCTGGATGAGTGCTGGGGGGCCAGGCCGTGGCTAAGTGCTGGGAGAGTGCAGTGGGAGAGCCCGAGGCACAGGGGAAAGCACGGGTTGCTGCTCCATCGTCCCTGGACTGGCAGATGAGATCCCCTCAAGCTCCAGGGTGCTTCCAGATCGTGCTCTTAGAAAGCACAAGCTGCCATGGAGGGGACGGAACCAGGCACCACTGCATGTTCTCCCGCACAATCTCTCAGGAGCCCCCTGCAGTGCAGGAGCGCACCCTCTGTGGTCTCGGGATCCAGGCCAGGCAGCTGCCTCCCGCAGCCCGTGTGTGCCCAAGCCCCTTCTCTGGCCTGGGTCCTCCAGCACGCACACTGCTGGGCACTACCCCCGCCCCCCCACCAAGTACTCACAGGCTCGGAGAGGAGGGCCCCGTGGCCTCGGGACTAGCAGACACCTCCTTGGCCACAGGCCCGGCTGGCCTGCTCTGTGGGCATTCTGAGGGCTGGGACTCTCCTCCATCTTTAAATGGGTTAAAGTTTGGGTCATCCAGCTTGTTCCAGTCCAGGCTGTAAGACCTCCGGGGCAGGTGAATGGGCCCCTCACTGGCCTCCTCAGGGGCCTTTTCCTGCTGCGGCTCTGATATCCCAGAGGGTGGTTTAAGGCTAGGTCTCGTCCCCAATTCCCTCAGTGCAGGCAATGTTTTGCTGGTAGCATTGTCAGAGAAATCAAATTCTAGCTCTATGGGCCTGCCATTCCACGAGGTGGCTCTCTGGCCATCAGCTTCTTTCTTCTGAGGACTTGGGGCTGTGGCCCCTTCAGCCTTCAGATGGCTGGCCAGCATGGCATCCCCAGGACCAGAGGGCCCTTCAGGGCCGGCCGGGGCCTCACCAGGAAGGTCTACAGGGGGCCCTTCTCCACCTGCTCCTGCAGGGCAAGTCGTAGGGGGCAAAGCAGCCCTAGCTGAGGAAGCAGGGACCCAGTTTGGGTTTTCTCTGGCGGCTTCAGGAGGGTCTTCTGTTCGGTCTGGGGTAGCCGTCTGGGAAGGGTCTTCTATGATTTCCAAGGTGGAGAGAATACTCTTTTCTGAGAAATAAGAATGAACACTTTCCTCCAAGGCTTGCTCGGGGCTCAGAGTCATTTGTCCTAGAGAAGCCACTTGATTTTCAGGACGTTTTGGCATCTGGGGAAAGCTTGAGGGATCCAGACTGGCCAGGTGAGCTGAGGTGGGCCCACTGGAATGCTGCCAATCTTCAGGGGTTGGTCTCACATCTGCTGGAGTGGGGATGGCATTGGCCATCATTGGTTTGTGGAGAATTCCATTGGTCATTTTGGTGTCCACTTCCTTGGCGAACTGTTGGCTTTTTAGAAACAAGCTTAGTTAACACTAAAGAATCTGTTAATTTTTTAACTAGAACTTAATCCATGAGAAAACATTAGCTAAAAACAGTAAAAAAAAGAACGTTCAGTTAATTCTCTTCTTAGGATTAACTTTCACAAGTATATCCTCATAAATCAAAGCTCGTGGACCAATGGGAGCACGCAGGTTTCTGGGAGAGCCGAAACGGGAGAAGTCACAGTCAAGGTTTTCTCTGCTTGCCTATTTCCCCCTTTCATTTGGTGACCACCAGCTACATAGTCCGGGGCACAGAAGGATCAAGATTTTCACTGAAGAGAAAGAGAAGATCGAGAGCTCTTGACAACACCCAAGGCTGACTCGCAAACAGAAAGGAGAACCCAGTGGGTATGAAAAAAAGAAACCTATCCACATAGCACTGGAGATGTGCGCAGACATTCCATGAAATGAGACAAACCAAAGCCAGGCTGGTGTGTTGATAAAGGCACAGTAAAGGAGCAAAACATAAAACGTTTTCTTTCTTTCTTTTTTTTAAAGATTTTATTTATTCATTTGACAGACAGATCACAAGTAGGCAGAGAGGCAGGCAGAAAGAGATGAGGAAGCAGGCTCCCCGCTGAGCAGAGCCCGATGCGGGGCTTGATCCCAGGACCCTGGAATCATGACCCAAGCCGAAGGCAGAGGCTTTAGCCCACTGAGCCACCCAGGCGCCCCACACGACATATAACTTAAACTTATTTGGGGTACCTGGGTGGCTCAGTCAGTTGGGCGTCTGACTTGGTTTTGGCTCAGGTCATGATCTTAGGGTCATGAGATCAAGATGCTTGCTCTCTCTGCCCCTTCCCGTTTGTGCGCTCTCTTCACAAATAAACCAAGAAAACCTTAAACAAAAAAACCTTGAACTTCTTCTACAAATTTCATCATCCACTCTTCTACTAACAAGTGGCTTCTAGTGTGAGCCACTTAACGTGCTGGGTAACGCCCTGCACAAGCTCACAGCAGAAACCACGAGGAACTTGACCAGATGCGACTAACGACAAAGTGGAATTTTCCTGCAGCGTCCACTGGAAAGATTAGGAATTGCAGTACATCAAGCAGCATCAACACTTACTTCTCTTTCTGGGTCCGGTTTTGAGGAGAGTTTTCTAAGCCAACAGTATCCTCCAGAGCAAAAGGAGCCTCGAGCTTGCTGCTCATGCTAGGACTTAATATCCGGTGTGTCTGTGGGTCCCGCAGAGGAGTCTGGAAAGTCACCTATTGGGGGAAGAGGAGACTGGTTCAAGAATTCTAGTTTTCACCCACTATTGTAGCAGTGCCCTGCCCTCTTCCACAAGTCCCCAGGTAAACAAGTCCCAGAGGGACCTAATGCATGACACATGGTAGATTTACACAGGCAAAATGTGCTTACTTTCATAGCTTTGAGTACGCTCTTGGGTGGCACATTTTCTTTCTGTGACAGACGAAGAACAGATAGTCTTCCGGTAAGTTCCGGTGGTGAAAACAGGAACTCACAGTTCTCTGAACTTTTGTCACCAGTGACGTTTTCATCATTGTAGATCTGCAGACTCATTCTGGGAAAGCAAACAATTGGCATCAGTATGAGGGCTGTGCAGTCTGGATGAACAGCCAGGGCAAGGAGCTGGCCCGGCAGGGCAGACGTCCCCATCCTGCACAGGTGGGTCCCATCTCAGCATGTCCTCTACCAGGCAGTCCTTGTCCTGTTTTAGGGCAGCCGCCGCCCAGGACAAAGAGCCGCAAAGGCCTTCAGCCCACAAAACAAGGAAGGAGAATCGGGTCCTCAAAACAATTTGGACTTAGCGAGGAAAGGTCAGGAGACCTGGGTGTGGGCCTGTTAGAAAGCCTGGGTCTCCCCTCAGGCCTCTACTGCAGGCGCTGAGGCCATAGCATAGCTGAGCTGGCTGCCATGTTAGCTGAGAGCAAGAAAGGAGGCTTGCTCTTTCGTCACAGGCTGGGAGATGGGGGGCACACTGTAGCACCATGAGGGTCCAGGCCCAGAAGAGAGCGGGACAAGATGGAGACCAATAAAATGGAGGATTACTTTGGTGGGGACTGGAGGAGTTTCAACACTGAGGCTTGGAGTCTAGAAATACACACCAGCGACCTCCACAGAGGCCCAGAAGGTTCCAGAACAGTCCCCACTCCCCCTTCCCAAGGTCCTCATGACGGTCACTAGCAGGACATTCCCAACCCAGGAGTTGCCAGAGGGCCTGTCCGTGGGAATGTCCCAGGTATTTGCTGGTGGCAGGGGCGCTGGAGGCTGCAGCTTGAAGAGCAAGGCTGGGCTGGCAGGGGCAGAGGGAGCAAAGCTGCCCTGAAAAGAGGGGAGTCAGGGTAACAAGATGCCCTGGAAGGTATGGGGGTAGGGCCCTGTGTGTGAGCGCAGGGAAAGGCAGGAAGGAAGTGGGGGGTCAGAGGCTCCTGCATCCAGACGGGGTGGTGTGAACAGCCCCAGCTTGGCCAGCAGGCCCACATCTGGGAGTGGGATGGCTGTGGGATACTCCAGGGAGGGGGCCTAGAGGACACTTTCCGACAATGCCTCGCCTGAGGAAGGGGGGAGAACAGCCGGGGCAATCTCGGTCAGGCCTGGCTTTCACTGACAAAGGGGAGAAGGCTCCCGAGCAGAGGCGGCCAGGCCAGACCTCCCATTAAACCGAGGTCCAGGTCCGTGGGCAGAACCCAGAGGAGCTGCGCCCAGCAGCTGGGAACAATCAGCAGGAACCGGAGGGCGGGTGCAGCTGGAGTCGGCGAGGGCTCACAGATGGGAGCTCGCAGGTGGGGCGTGGACAAAGGAGCACAAAGGTGCCCCCAGAGGAGGGAGGGGCTGAGGATCGGGTCCAAGAGGGGAGGGCGGCGAGCCGGGAGCGCAGAGGGTATAAGGTGTACACTCGTAAGGCGCGGGTACAGGTAGGGTTCGAGGCTGGAAGAGGTCACAAGGTGACGGCGAGGGGAGGCCGCCTTAGGAGACCGAGGGGGAACCGTAAGGCAGGAGACCCTCAGGCGTCTCCGCCCAAGGGCTGAGGACGAAAACCAGCGGACCCGCGGGGTGCCGGGGACTCCGGCAGGAGGGCGCCCATGGGAGGGCGGCAGCAAAACCGGTGGGGTGGTCCCAGGGGGCGGGGGTGCCGAGCGGACGGCGCACCCCGAAGCCGCGGGAGGAGCCGCGGAAGGAGGAGGGCCCGTTGGGGGCGGGCGCCGCCCAGCTGCCGCGGGCGTCAGGGCGCGGGGACCGGAGGCTGGGGGGGGACGAGGTGGGGATTGAGCCCCGAGCCGGGGACTCCGCCGCCACCATCGCCTACCTGCTGGCGGCCACGCAAAACCGAGGGAGCGGGAGGCGCGGAATCCGGGAGCCCGTTCGCCCGCCGCCGATTCAAATACCGACGGTTGGCGCGCGCGGCCAATCAGCGCGCGACGGGGGCGGGACGCACGCCGCGTCGCGGCCACGCCTCCCGGACGCAGGCGGTCCGCTTCCGGGGGGAGAGGGGTGTTAGGCGCGCCGGCGCCGGAAGCCGTTGGAAACCCGGCTCGACGCGCCGGCGGAGGGGCGGGGCCGCTGACGGGCTGAGGGTGGCTGCGGGGGGCGGGGGTGAGCTCTGCCGCGGAGGCGACTGGGCTGCGCGGAAAGGCCAGGGCCTAAGAGCCATTGGCCCGGGTCTCGGCTTCCCCAGTTGTGAAATGGGACCGGTTGCAGCTCCGCCCCAAAGCGGGTTGTGAGATGGAGCCGAACTCTCAGGAGAACAATCGCGGTCCCAACGCTTCTGGCTGAGCCAGACGCGGCAACTCCGTTTCCTAGGGTGCCCCGCGTAGATGTGACGTCACCCAGCGCTCCTCACGCCAGCCTGCGGACGGGACCCCATCTCCCAGAATGCCCTGCGGGCGGCGACACCGTCTCCCAGAGCACCCCGCGCCGGCCTGGCGCTCGCCTGCTGCCGCCCACCGGCTCGGAGTTCTCCCGTCAGTTTCCCGTCGCCGGCTGCGGGGCTCTCCCTGACGGCTTCCTGGGGGCCGCGGCAGCGCGATGGACAGCCCGGAGGTCACCTTCACGCTGGCCTACCTGGTGTTCGCCGTGTGTTTCGTGTTCACGCCCACCGAGTTCCACTCGGCCGGGCTCACGGTGCAGAACCTGCTGTCGGGCTGGCTGGGCAGCGAGGACGCCGCCTTTGTATCCTACCACCTGCGCCGCACGTCCGCCACGCTGCTGTGCCACTCGCTGCTGCCGCTCGGTGAGCAGGCCCGACCCTCCCCAGAGGGTCCTCCGGGCGGGGCACCGGCCTGTGTCCTCGGTGGGCGGAAGTGGCCCCTCGGGCTCGCGGCCGAGTTCCGGGACCCCAGAGGTCGGGGAGAGTCGGGGGAGGGCGAGCGGGTCCCCGGTCACTCGGAGCAGAGGAGAGACGCTGATCCCGAGAGCCGCGGCCGTGAACTAACAGCCCGTGCGCTCTGAGCTGGGCTTCTCGCGTCCCCGGCTCCCGAGAGTGGAGAGGAAGGTGCTGGCGGCAGGTGGCCGTTTGCAGGTGGTGGAAATGAAGGCTTAGAATATTGAGGGGAGGGCAAAGGGGATGATGCTTCGCCCAGCTGGGGCAGGTCGGGAGTCATTTCGTGGAGGCAGTTCCCAGGAGAGGGACATGAGTTAACTGATCGTAACAGGAAGGTGGAGACCTGGGAGAGCAGGTGGTCTTGTCCCAGGCTTTGGAAGGTGGGTGCGGGAAAGGAGGCAGAGATGGGTAACCCCATAGGGGTGTCACAGGTGCAGAGGATGGCGGGGCGTGTTTGTGTGGCTGGCGCAGGATGCTCACAGGTGGTACAGGGGTTGGCCCTGGGCGGAGACTCAGGTGCTCTCTGGCCTCTGAGAGGCTGGTTTGTCAGCTGGTTGGACAGGGGACTGCCTGGAAGTCGGGGTACTAGATATGTGTATGTGGTTCTTTGGAGGATACAGAGCAGAAGCAGGTCTGGAAGGGCAGATAGCTGCTGGGGGCCGTGTCTGTGGCTCCGTGGGCACAGAAGTTTCCAGCTGTCAGCAGGGCACAGCAGCCTGGGGCAGGTGTGGAGAGCCTCCTGGAGGGGGCTGGGTTGAGGCCAGACATGCGCAGGAGGGCTGCCTGCCCATGCCAAGGACACAGGGCCTTGGTGGCAGTCTGGTGGTCTCCTTTGCCACAGGGTCCGTCTGCCTGCTGTTGGGGTAACAGCTTTCTCAACCTGAGGCCCCAGCCCCTCTGTGAGGCAGGGATGAGAAAAGTGTGGCTCGGAACCTGGGCCCCCGAGGGGGTCGTGGGTTGGGTTTCTGTCTTGGGAACGAAGGGTCCCCACAGCTTTCTGGAGTCCCTTTAGCCACACCCTTTCTGTAAGCCTGTGAGTGGCTGGTCTGTAGGCAGGCTACACCAGGACAGAGAAGCTGGAGCTTAGGGAGCTCAGTGACTCATGCAGGTGGGAGGAGCTTAGCCTTGTGGCCAGTCTCAGGGTCTTTTTCTTCCTTTTGACCTTGTTTTGTAAAAGCTTTGAAACTTTGTATGCATGTTTTCTACTGCTGCAGGATAAATTACCTTAAATGAAGTAACTTGATCACAGCAAATGTTTACTATTATTTTGTACTCTTAACGTGCTCAGGCAGGTATCCATTATCTACTTCGTTATCTACTTCAGTCACTAGGATATGCAAATCGCATATGGAGATTGGCGTTCCCCATTGTTTTCTGCTTTCTGTTTGGAGCACAAATCTGAGCTCTTGGGATGGGCCACACACTGATTTGCCTTCTCGGTGGGGGTGGGGTTGAGAGGCCAAGATCCCACCCCTGGGAGGCCAGCGTGCAGCTTGGCTTTGTGTGGCACCAGATCCTTGTATTTGTTTTTGCTTTTTTTCAGGCTTTCCTATTTCTGTAATCATGTATTACTTGTGTAAGGCTCAAGTAGTACATTAGAAACGTCTTTTTCTCCTTTATTGTATTACTGTCGTGGGCGAGGGTTGAGCTGGGCCAATGTGGAGGCAGGTAAGGTGCACCTGCCTTGGGGTACCATGGCCTAGCCCTGAGAGCTGACCAGGGCGGCCTTTGGTGGGCACTTTGGAGGGAGAACAATGGTCTGGCAGCCCCAATTCCTGCTGAGGCCCTTCCTATCCTTGTAGGTTACTACGTGGGCATGTGCTTTGCAGCCTCAGAAAAGCAGCTCTACTCCCTCGGCCAGGCCCCAGAGGCCTGGCGGCTCTTCCTCTTGCTGGCAGTGACTTTGCCCACCATCGCCAGCACTCTGATCTACTACTGGTCCTGTGATCAGTGGGCCCGCCACCCGCTGGCCCGCACCTTGGCCCTCTATGCCCTCCCACAGTCAGGCTGGAGGGCCGTGGCCTCCTCAGTCAACACGGAGTTCCGGCGGATCGATAAGTTTGCCACGGGGGCACCGGGGGCACGTGTGATTGTGACAGACACGTGGGTGATGAAGGTGACCACATACCGTGTGCACGTGGCTCAGCAGCAGGATGTGCACCTGACCGTGACCGAGTCCCAGCAGCATGAGCTCTCCCCAGACTCGAACCTGCCTGTGCAGCTCCTTACCATCCATGTGGCCAGTGCCAGCCCTGGCGTGCAGGCCTTCGACATCCGGTAGGTGTGCGCGTAGCCAGGGCAAGAGTAAGGCTGGGGCATGTCAGAGGTAGCCAGCCACCAGGTTCTCGTCTTGGGCTCCTCTGGGAGGCAATGATGCATTGGAGCAGGCTCCTCTATCCACCCCACCAGTGGAACTCTCCCTCAAGGCCCCTTGTCCCTTCATGCCCCTGTAGGTACCCCCTGCTGCTGCTCTTTCCATGACGGCTCTTTTCAGGGGAGCATGTTAGGCATGTTTGGGGGGATGGTACAGGACCGAGGTTTGATGGCTGCTTTGGCTCTGGGGCCCAACCAATGTCTTCCCATCCCATTCAAGCTTTGGACAGTGCATTGTCCCTCTACTGTGACCCCCTTTGTGCCTGAACTTGTTGAGAGCCAGGCATTCTGTGTCCCACCTGCAATCCACTCACTTTTTTTGCCCCTCCCTGCATCCCTTGGGGGCAGGGAGTTGGTGCTGCTTCTGTGGGCTCTGGCCTCAGGGTTATCTTTACTGGCTGGTCTACTTCAGGTGACTGGGCTGTGCCTGGGCTCCCATGTTGTGTGTGGTTGTGGGTATCCTGTCACTGTAGAGGCACCTTGGCATCCCCAGCAGGAATGATGGCCCTGCCCTGCAGAGGGGCCTTGGTTCAGTGGCTCCAGCCCAGCAGACCCCACCTTGTGCAGGCTGAACTCCACGGAGTATGGTGAGCTGTGTGAGAAGCTCCGTGCACCCATCCGCAGTGCGGCCAACGTGGTCATCCATCAGAGCCTGGGCGACCTGTTCCTGGAGACGTTTGCTTCTCTAGTGGAGGTCAACCCAGCCTACTCAGTCCCCAGCAGCCAGGTGAGGGCTGGGTGGGGGCAGGTGGGTTCCCACAGGCCAGGCCCTCTGGGTAGGATGGAGGGGCACAGGGCTATCTGGCCAGGCTCCCTGTGACACCCTTGGCCCACTCGCAGGAGCTGGAGGCATGCATTGGCTGCATGCAGACACGTGCCAGTGTGAAGCTGGTGAAGACCTGCCAAGAGACAGCTGAAGGCGAGTGCCAGCAGTGCTACTGTCGTCCCATGTGGTGTCTCACCTGCATGGGCAAGTGGTTCGCCAGCCGCCAGGACCCACAGCGCCCTGACACCTGGCTCGCCAGCCGTGTGCCCTGCCCCACCTGCCGTGCACGCTTCTGCATCCTGGATGTGTGTGCTGTGCGCTGAGCCTGCTGGCCGGAGCAAAAAGTGGCCTTGGGGGCCCCGGCGAGACCTGCTAAGGACCCCACAGTTACCATGAGGAGCAGCCAGGGCTCCAGACCCTCACTTGTGTTGTCAGCCAGGGGCTCTTTCCCCAGCATGACGAAGGACAGCAGTTTTTGTTTAAAAAGGATATTTTCTTCTGTAGCAGTGGCAGTGGGATGGGACTTCAGTGCCTCGGCTTCCTTTCTTCTTCTTTCTCCAGGTGGGGGCAGGTGCTGGACTCAGAATATGGTATGCTGTGGGGCCTGTTTCCAGAGCATTCTGAGGCTGCCTGAACTGTCTTCTGGAGACCAGGTTCCTGCCCCCATGGCCCTACCCTGAACCACTTGCCTTAATTTTATGTAGCATACCTGCCTTTCAGTTACATGCCAAACCCAGGTTCATCCAAATTGGTTGCAGTTTGTCCTCCAGACTCCTGTCTCCAAGCTGGCTGGTGGCCCTGTGCCCCCTCTGCACCCCACCAGGCTTCTCAGTGTCTGGGGAGAGTCCGGCGGTACAGAGAGACTGGGGTTCCACTGCAGGGTGAGAGCACTGCCTGGGACTTTCTGGGTGGGGTGACCCTACCTGCCACCTGCCCCGGGGAGATCCTGGACTTCCT